TTTTTTCTTTTGCACCAGGGGAAACTGAAAAAGAGTACAAACAGAGACACTATAGCGTTAGGAATACCGATTTGTATTCATAACGCTATGGCGTTCCTTTAACAACAGAGTAAGACTTTGCATAGAAATAAAAATATGATTTGATAATGCAGTGTTATTTCTTGATGTCAGAGAATTTTTTTTATTTTTATAAACCACTGACAGCAAGTAGATAAAATTTCATTTTTTTAGGTGGTCAGATGAAAATCAACAAACAATTTCCGAGGTGGTATGGATAGATCGCCGGGTGGCATGGATAGATTGCGAGCTGGTATGAATATCTTGATGGGTGTATGGATATCTCAGCACAGTGACAGTTTCCAGTTAATATCATAAAGTGTTTCTTAACTTATTGTGACAAATAGTGACACAGATTTGAATTGCAGTAAATCTATGCCTTGCCACCCCATGTATTCCTGATGGTGAGAAGCCAGTGTATTGCACTAGTGTCTATAATGCGGTGATGCTCACAGCAGACAAACCAGACTAAAACAGTGTGCGTCTTATTTACTCGTAAGTCATTATTTATTACCATTTAATATTTAAAAAGAAAATAAACATTAACAGACACATTCAGACACTGTTGAAATAAGTGTGAGCTAGAATTTTGAATCATAAATCATAAGTTGCTCTTTCAAAAAATAAATGTTTTTAATTGACCACAATCACACTGAATTGCAATGTAGGTCCATCGGGGCTTTTTAATGCCCAAGGCTAATGTCAAGTGTGTCTACAGTCTACTATGTGTAGAATATAACAGCTGGTGCTGATAGGTAATCGGAGTATCACATCACAACAGTACAAAAATACATATGAAACATGAAACCTCTACTTTGAACTACATAATCAACATAAAGCAATTCTTATAGTACTTTTACCCTAGACTGAAAAAAACAGTTTTATGCCAGTGTCAGTTCACCAGTGTGTACTGTTTAAATGTCCGTGCAAAGAGATGAGTCTCTTTTTAAATATTTCTTTTGATGTAGGTTTTTTGTCAGTCCTAGGAAGTGGGTTCCATTCTGGAGCATCGCATAAAGTTCACGCATTAAATGTTGTTAAATGGACTCTTGTTATCTTCATTTGTCACAGATTTTCTGATCAAAGGGAGGAATTAGGAAGTACTGTATAGGGAACTAATTCAAGTAGTTGGGACTCACGTGTGACACTGTAGTGCAGGGCTCTTAAAGTGCCCTTCCGCTGGCATTTTGTGAACACCAAACACTCTTAGAAAAGTATGTCTGAATCCAGGGCACAGCTTTCCATGTCCCAGATTGCTGGTGGCCTGGTCTGCACCAGGAGCATGGTTGGGACTTTAATCGGTTTGAAGAAGCCAGCTAAATGGGAAGCAGTGGATGCCCACGTTGTGTACTCTGGTCAGCTTCGTTACTAAAGCTGCTTCATTGTGCAGTCACATGGCAGAACTTGGCCTAGTCACACTACAAATGCTAGGAGGGGGGAAGTGTACATCACGTGTGTGTTTGTATTTGTCTAATGTGGTGGAATACTTAGATAATCACTTCCATTGCTGCTTGATATACACAAATGTTCAGTACAGTTGTGACACTGTAATTAATGCAAGCACCACTTTCTATAATAGTGTGCATTGAGTAGGATGGTAATTCTGCCCCTATTACTACATAACTATATCCCTTCCAGATTGTATCAACGTAAAAATACAATTAAAGCAAATAGGATAATTTCTTCTTATCTAACCTAGCATGTTACAACAATTAATATTAAATAAGTTTAAACACAGGACAAATGTTCCTGCTTTACAGCACTGTAGTTAATTGAACATTTTAACTCTCTTTACCACATGTGATTCTTAAGGCATATGGTAAAACCATGTATAGATGGTATATAACTCCAGTTAAAACTTAACAAATGTGTAAAATGCAGATTCATCGGTACTGGAAATAAATCATGCAAAAAGCATTTATTTCCAGGTTTGGTGGAAATGTCCCAAGGTATATATCTTTCTTATGGAGGGAGGTGACCTCTCTTATCTTAGGAGCCATAACAAAACCCTTTCCACTAGACTCCTGTTGCCCTACTGGTATTGAAAACCCTAGAAACTTATGGAAATCTCCACAAATACCCAAACTGTATTCTATCTTTAACAAAATTAAAGAGGCTATAGAAACATATTAATTTATGGCATCAAGGCATGACTCTTCAAAATCAGGGGGCGGGGCCTGACCGCAGATCCGAACGGACATGTCTCCCAGGGGCTCCCGCACCAAACGACTAAATAAGCCTAAAAAAAGCATGTTCCAACAGAGAAAAGACACACACTGCCTCTGACAAGGCACATGAAACCGGGACTCACCTGGGGACACCACTCATGAGGCCCATCCAGACAGAATCTCCATACTGGCTCATGCGGCCTTCACAAGCGGCTGGCGCGGGGGGGGGCGGCCGTTCCCCCGCCGTCATCACAATCGACTGAAACTATACAGAGCCCACGTTCCCCCCCACATGGACCAGCGGGGATAATCCTGGTCCGCACAGTCCTGGCTAGCAAGAGGCTGTATGACCTGACGACCCAAAGAGGCATACTCCCCGATGGCAAGATGGAGGTGGAGGAACACGCACCTAAAATGGCCCCCTACAAGCCACTACACGAGAGGATAGACGCACTACTCCAGCGCTTTTAGGGAGCGGCGAGCGCCTCAACCACCGCCTGCCTCTGGAAAGAAGGTGAGGGGGAGCGGGAGAGTGGGGTGGAACAAGCCCTCCCCGGGCGCAGGAAATAAACTTGCACACAAAGGTAAGGGCCCATCTAGGCCGAGAGTCGTGAGGCTCACCCCTCCGAGGCACAGGCCACACCGCCGGAGGGCCACACACCGCAGGCAGTGGAAAAACACCAGGCTCCTCCGCAGCGTCCACCAAGGAATAGACCCAGCCTCCCAGAGCACCCGAGTCTGTGACCAAACAGTGTCGACCATCAATTAAGCCTGGAGCGGGGGAGAGGCCCTGCACTGCCCGTACACCCGTGCTGCCCACCGATACCCTCGGATGCCGTCTCACAAGAAGCCCAGCAGAGGTATTGGCTGACCGACCCCAAGGCCGTGAACCTCCTCCCCTGCACACGCCGGGCAGCAGAGACATGACACGGTACTTACCTAAAGATCACTCTTATTCCCAGCTCCAGCAAGCTACCGTCTGCCGCAGCTGCCCTGCTAAGCTGATAGTGGGGAGACAAGTAATTAATCCAGATGCCTCCTTGACACGCTGGCCCCTGTATGCTTCGCCTGCAGCTCCCGAGCACCAGAGTACACACTCCGTGGTAGTACACCTGCGGGTAGCCGACCAGGTCATACCTTTAGTCAGTTTGAAGCCTACTAGAGGACTTACCCTGCAAAATGCCTGACTGTGCTATACTTTTGTTTTGCATCTCAACACTTCTTCCTTGAATTTTAAAGGACCACTCTAGGCACCCAGACCACTTCAGCTTAATGAAGTGGTCTGGGTGCCACGTCCAGCTAGGGTTAACCCATTTTTTAATAAACATAGCAGTTTCAGAGAAACTGCTATGTTTAATAATGGGTTAAGGCTTCCCCCTAATCCTCTAGTGGCTGTCTCATTGACAGCCACTAGAGGCGCTTGCGTGCTTCTCACTGTGATTTTCACAGTGAGAGCACGCCAGCGTCCATAGGAAAGCATTATGAATGATTTCCTATGTGACCGGCTGAATGCGCGCGCAGCTCTTGCCGCGCGTGTGCATTCAGCCGACGGGGCGGAGAGGAGGAGGATCGGAGGAGGAGAGCTCTCTGCCCAGCGCTGGAAAAAGGTAAGTTTTAACCCCTTTCCCCTTTCCAGAGCCGGGCGGGAGGGGGTCCCTGAGGGTGGGGGCACCCTCAGGGCACTATAGTGCCAGGAAAACGAGTATGTTTTCCTGGCACTATAGTGGTCCTTTAAGCAAGTACTCTCACAATATTCATGCACAGCGAGCCTCCTTTGTTTATGAGTGCAGTAATTACTCTCAGTCTCAACATGATAGCCTAACTTGCCTCAGCCTAA